TGTGAGTGGATGGGAGGAATTGGGCTGAGTGGTCAGGGAACACTGTGTGAGTGGATGGCCCTGGAGCTGGGAGAAACAGGAAGTGGACCTGTCGATTGGGGGCGTACATTTGGATTAGTGGAGGGGGCCGCATTATGAGAGTCTTCTTGCAGATAATGGGGCGTGTGTGTGTGTGTGTGTAATGGGATGTGGGTGTGGATAACGGGGTGTGGGTGTTTGTGTGGATAATGGGGTGTGGGTATGCGTGTTTAGAGGTGATGCTACCAGGATCAGGACTTGAAATGCAGGTGTGGATCTTGGCTGTAAAAGGGTCATCTTTCCAAGCCTTATGGGTAGAGGACTTCTTCTAGGAAAAGTATCATTCGAAGAAAAGAGCAGAAAAAGAATTCACACCTTAGAAAGCCAGGTAGGGGGTGGAGACAGATGAAGAGACAGAGAAATTGAGCAGTTGGTATTTTTTAAGTGTAATTGTGTATGTATATATAGAAAAATCTGTAGGACAGACACCCAGAAATATGAGGAGTGGTGGCATGGGTGCCTTTTCTTATTTGCCCTTTTTCTTAAATGTATTTCCAGTATATTGTCATGAAGATAAAGGATTACAAAAAGGCATGGTGCTGAAGGCTGTATGGACATCCTTACTTTTACAGAAAAAGTAACATTTAAGGACGGTTTTGCAAACGTGTGTCTTGGTAATAGCCCGTGGATGCTTTTTGGGGGGCAAAAAAATATGTGGTCAAATAATTTGACTACACTTAACTATGTTTTCACCATCTTGTAAATGTATAATATTAACATATTAAAGGTTCCATTATTAATAAAACGGGTGTGATTAAAAAATCCATTAGTATTTTTTTCCTCAAACTTATTGGACTTGGAAGAAGTTTTTCGTGTAATCCCAGTTGACACTTAGCGTAACGTCTGACACAGTAGACACTCAGCAGACGTTGGTTTTTATTGCCATTCTGTAGAACTAGTGTTCAGCAGCACCCACAAGGGAGCACCAAGTAGCTGATTGTTTTTTCAGGGCAAGTAAGAGCTAAGAATTTCTGTTTTATTTAAGTGCCTGGTAGAGGCTCAGTCGCAAAATAAAAATACAGATAACCAGTTAATACGTGAAAAATGTTCAATTCCATTCATAAAGAATACAAATAAT